TTACATTTCAAATGTGATGTTTTTTTTGTTGAAATAACAGTTTCTTCTTAGTTTTTTCTTATCAGTTTTGTATATTAGGGTTGTGTGTTACACCTAATGTTGTTAAATGAATGTTCATTATTTCAGTACCATGATGGTGTTTAGTGTTTGTGTGAATGACACTGTGCACCTTCTATATATGTTATTATTTAAAAGCTGCTTGTGAAGGCTTTGGTTCATCATGTGACTTTCTCATCATCTCCTGCATTTGGTGGTTATCAGTGTATTACAAAGATACAAAACAGATTTCAGTACTTCAATAGGTTGGTATATTAACATTTTATCAGTTAATGAAATTGCGGTATTTAACTGTAAATTTAAGTTAAAACCGCAAAACCTAAAACGTTGCTACCATATTTTTTACGGTAAAATTCCGGCAACCACAGCTGCCGTTTTTTTACCGTAAATTTTACAGATTTTTTTTTTTACAGTGAAGGTAATGAAAAGCCGACAAAAAATACATGTGAAACTAGTGTACTGGTGTAAATTAGTAGTGTAACTACCAGTCAAAAGTTTGGACACACCTATTTATTGTTTTTTATTGCTATTTTCCACACTATGTAGTAATAGTCATCAAAAAATAGAAGTATGACATTTATGTAGTGACCAAATAAAGTTTAACAAATCAAAACTAGTTGGACATTTGCTTCTCCTGCTCGATCATTCACTTATCAATCTTTGTGAGGTGCATCCTGGGATGCTTTTGCATGTGTTATGGACACTTCTTGATTGCTTCACTATCGACTCCAACTAACCCATGTAAAAAATAGATTAATAAATTCAGTAACATTTTACTTTTGTAAAGAAATTCATATGTATTCATTTATATTTATCAGTCAAATTTCAAACATATAAACAGGTTTGAGATGTATTACTATTATTACTATTTTATTTTATTTTTTTAACAAAAAAAGTCAAGTGTGCTCAAACTTTTGATTGGTAGAATATATACATATTAATCAGTAAACAAACATGTACGGGGCGGAGGATTTGTGGAACTGCATGAATCATCATTCAATGTCCTAATTTTTGTATTATCTCTTGTATATTATATTAGATTATTTTGTATATACAGTATAACAAAAATAAATATGTTTAATCAAATATAATGCAATATAATATAGATCACATAAAAAGTCTTATTTGGGCTTACTAATGTGTATGTATTGTTTTACAAATTCAAGCTAACTGTTATATACATGTATACATGGCCTCTGCAGCAAAAACACAAACACATTCTCTCCTCAGAAATCTATCTGTAATCAGGGTCATGGCCCCTGAACCCCTGAACGAGACGAGACAGATCTGTAATCTGTCTTCAGTCAGCAAAGCCTCTACCACAGCATGACTAGAAATATTCAAGCCTGATCCTGGATTAGCTGCACTTATAGGAAGACTTTCACTCTTTATTTATATTT